GTGTGGGCAAAAGGAGCATATTGAAACTCTCCGCACTTGCCACTCAATTTTGCTGTGAATCTAGAACTTCTTAAAAAAAATAAAGTCAGCAGAAACCGGTTTGGCTCAGTGGATAGAGCGTCGGCCTTCGGACTGAAGGGTCCCAGGTTCGATTCCGGTCAAGGGCATGTACGTTGGTTGTGGGCATATCCCCAGTAGGGGATGTGCAGGAGGCGGCTGATCGATGTTTCTCTCTCATCGATGTTTCTGGCTCTCTATCTCTCTCCCTTCCTCTCTGTAAAAAATCAATAAAATATATTTATAAAAAAAATAAAGTCTATTAAAGAAAAAGTTTAATAGACTGAGCCACACGATAGACTATGATTCCATTTCTTTCACTGTATGGCATTTGTTTTCCTTGGAGTTGATCACTGCTTTGTCATCGGGTTTCTACATTCTTAACAATAATTCTTCCCAGACTCCTCACTAGCACTGTAAAATCACAACAGCATCAGTATTCTCTCAATATTTTCAGTTGTGTGATTTTATTTTCCAGGTTCAAACACATCATATTCTATCAGATACATACTTTTCCTGGAGACTTTCCTTCTAAAACCTCAATTTTTCTGCTAAAATCTGGACTGACTATTCTCTGGATGTACTGCACATGTGTGCCATCCTTTGAATTCCTTTAACCATAACTACAGAAATTCCCTTTGCTTTTTTCCTGCATGAAATCCTCTGTTTCTTGGGTCTCATACATGCCCTTTTCTTAATTAAATTCTTAATTTTTCTGGAGAGTATCTTCTAGATCTTTTCTGAGAAGGCATATAAATAAATAAATTTTTGAAATCTTGCATGTCTGCAAATATCTTTTTTCTGTACTCATTTAATTGATAAACTGAGTGGGTACAGAATTTTAAGCTGAATATTATTTTTCCTTAGACAATTGAAGGTATAGTTCCAAGGTCTTCTATCATATAATGTTACTGTATGAAGTCAGATATCATACATCATTCTTATTACTAATACTTTGTATGTAACTTAACTTTTAAAACAATTCTAGAAGTTTAAAAGATATTCTCTTTTTACCTCCTGCTCTGAAATTACACAATGATAAGTCTTTTTTGTTTTAATGAGCTAAGTCAATTTGAGAACACCTGGCCTTCAATTTTGGGAAATCTTATATTTCACCTGTTCTGTTTTCTTTAGTCTCTCATCTTAGAATCTTATTGCTCTGATGGTCGACCTCTTGGACTAACTTCTAATATTTTAAACATTTCCATCTTATTTTTAGCCATTTGGGCTTCTTTTTTATTTTATATTTTTTGGTTCTATATCTCTAGAGGAGGACGATACAGTAAGAGTCTCATAATATCTCTGTTTCTGTCCAGTATTTACTTAAAATTTACCAGATATATATATACCAAGAGATAAGACCAAGAGAAAAACAGGCAACAGAAACAGATCTACAGGAGAGCCAGATACTGAAATTATGAACCAGGGCCTTTAAAATAATTTTGGTTAATATATTTAAAAAATTAGATGAGAACAGAGAAAATTTCAGCTGAGGAATGGAAACTATAAAAATAATCTAATAACATTCTAGACTCAAAAAACATAACTAAAATTAATAATGCTGAAGTATGATCCTGGCCAGTGTGGCTCAGTTGGTTGGGCATTGTCTCATGTGCCAAGGAATTGCCAGTTCGATTCCAGGTCAGGGCACATAGATGTTTCTCTCTCTCCCCCTCCCTTCCTCTACACTCTAAAAAAAAAAATCAATAAGAAAATAATAAGAAAAAATAGAATGCTGAAGTATATATCCATTTAGCTCCTCAAAAAATACCCAAAGAAACACACACAAAGATCCCCCAAGAGAAATGTAGAATGATTATAGCAGCATTATTTGAAATAGCCTAAAATAAATTAATTGTGCTATACTCCACAGTGGAATACTATACGGTACTGAAAATCAGCAGCAACACAGATAAATCTCACGAACACAATGTTTTCAGAAAGGATGTATACATGAAAGAATATGTATTACATGATTCCATTTATATAAAGTTGAAATTAATCTCTGATGTGAGAAGTTATGATAGAGTTACCTCTGGGAGAAGAAGGAGGGTGATTATTGGGAGGGGAGAAGAGCAGGGCTTCTAGGATCTTGTAGTGCTATATTTTTTAAATCTGAGTGGTAGTTTCAAAAATGTATTCACTTTGTGGTAATTCCTCAAGCTGAACACTTGACTTGTGAATATTTCTATATGCATATAAAAGTTATAATAAAAATATAATAAATTTGAATAAAATATCTATGGAAATAAAGCAGGAACAGATTATTCTCATTTTATAGATGCAGTATCTTTTCTTAACTCTGAGAAAAACATATACATATTTTCTAACTTACCTATTTCTTTCTTCCTATTAGTTTTGGTGTTTGCCTACCATAATCCTGATCTACCTGTGTTCAAAAACTTACTGGTTTAGTTTCCCGACAATAAATCTCTGTTGCCTGGTTATTTGGAGATGCAGAGGAGACCTGGGGTCCTATAGCAACCTATGTAGAATTTTAACCAATCTCCTTGTAGAATTTTAGGCACAACCTTTCCCCCTGCCTTTGGCAGTATCAAGGATTGCCAATTCCTGAGCTCCTCTGAGGTTCTACGTTATGAATTTCATTGGCAAACCTCTGTAAACCCCAAAGTGTCAGCTTTCTCTGCTCTTCTAAGTCAGTTGTCAGTGCTCAATCTCACAAGATTTATGAACATCTCTTTTCTGTCGTTACCTCCTATTCATCCTGGTGAGCTTATACCTATTTTATTCTTTTTAAAAAATATATTTTTTTTTATTAATTTCAGAGAGGAAGGGAGAGCGAGAGAGAGAGAGAGATAGAAATATCAATAATGAGAGAGACTCATTGATCACTGCCTCCTGCATACCCCCTACTGGGCCTCGAGCCCACAATCCAGGCATATGCCCTTGTCTGGAATTGAACTCGGGACCCTTCAGTCTGCAGGCTGATGCTCTATCCACTGAGTCAAACCGGTTAGGGCCTTATTTTATTCTTATATTAATTTTAGTGGCCTGGAGGAAGGGTCAGTTAGATAAAAATATGTATTTAATCTGACAAGTTTTGATTCAATTTTTTTCCTGACATTTATTTAAAAAAATACAGGGGGTGAGGGTGAGGGCAGGACTGGAGGTTGGGGGGGACAATGTGGGGATAAGGACACATTTGTAATACCTTAATCAATAAAGAAAAAATATTAATCAAATTATGATTGACCTCTTATGATCTGATGTAGAATGTACATGTATTTCTATAAATTTTGAGGTTTCATATTAGGTGTGTGCTATTTTTAAAAAAATGAAACCTTTCACTTTTCCATATAGATTTTAAGTGGTGCATAAGATGAGTGGCCATACTTCCTGGCTATGATTTCACTGGGGAGCTGCTGTCAATGCTGTGTTTTATTATCAAATAAAATTTATGGGCACAGTGTCCTGCTCCACAGAGTGAAAAACACAAGATTTCTCAGACACTCATTCGGATGGAGCCCAAGTCTACTAGTAAAGTCTACATATACACTTCTAAGAAGTCACCTTTGGCATCTTATGTGCAGCCCTGTTTCCTGGGTTTCTAGAATAATTGATTTTGTTAAAAATAACCCCAGATGAAAATCAAGATGAAGCATCAGTATTCTCTCAATATTTTCAGTTGTGTAAGACTAACTTAGGAGGAGAGTTTGTGCTGCCATATGAATTCTAGATGGCTCAGTTACCTCTGGAGTATATTCATCAATCACAGAAAAAATAATGAATGAATATATTTCCAGTCCCTCTAGAAATATTATGAGGAATAATTTAACCATCTTTCTATTTTGACATGATCATTAGAAAATTAATATGTTAACATAATTTCTTCCAAATGACTTCGAAAAATGTAAACACAGTTATAAGATAGTATAGTGGACACGTGTAGAGCATTTTGGATGTCCAATATCTTTTAAACCTTCCTAATTTGGTGGCTGCTACATGAGTCCTCTCTCTCTAGTCAGGACTCAGACATTTGCTTTGCCAGCCCTTTCTTGTGGGATGTGAACTCAGCTCTACAAATCAGATACAGCCATGTCAGTCTTTGTTCAGCAGAGAAATATGAAGAAGAAATCTGCTTTGGTGAGTGAGAGTGGCAGGGAAGAAGATAGCCAATTTTTAGGAGCAGTAGTAATAGGAATTTTAGAACCTAGAGCCCAGCATTATGGTGAGAATTATGTTCTTGCCCAGTGGCAGTAGCTATTGGGGTCATCCTTGGAACAGTCTTCTGGCAGGGGCTGGGTGTGTACTTGGCTGTAGCTTCTAAACCTGACTCTCTGGATCTCCTTGAGATTCTATGAACCAGCTAATTTTTAAAAAAGAAATTCTTTTTCTTTTTCAGCTACCTAGAGAGAATTCTGTTGCTTACAACTAAAATCCATGACTAATTCAGATGGTAGGTACAACCATAAACAAAAAAATATAACCACAAAAATAAAAAATATATCTTTGTAACATTCAGCTACAATAAAAATAAACATGTGATCCAAAGTAAAGAATGCCATATGCTACAACATGGATGAACCATGAAAACTTATGCTAAGTGAAATAAACCAATTACAGAGAAACAGTTACTATATAATTCTACTTATATGACATATCTAAAATAGTCAAAGTCATGGAATCAAAAAGTTACCAGGGTTGGGGGGAGGGGGAAGTTGGGAGTTATTAATCAATGGGCATAGAGTTTCAGGGGAGATAAATAAGCTCTACAGGTCTGCTGTACAACATTGCACCCATAGTCAACAATTACATACTGTATACTTAAAATTTATTAAAAGGATAGATCTCATGTTAAATATTCTTTCCATAATAAAATAAAATTTAAAAACCGCTACCATGGACTTATACTCTCCAAAGACATGTGTAATGTTAAAAGCATATTGGAGAATTTAAAAATCTTGATAGCAATTTGAACATACCATCTTTATCAGCAGTGTCTTGAGGCTTGGATTTTAAAGTGAAGATCTTCCGCAGCTTACAGTTAGCTGAGACAATAATTCCATCCAATGACTGGAAAACTGCTCCCTTGAATATTTCACTGGTAAATGCCACCAAGTCAATGCATAGGTTGCACCACTAAAATAAAGGGGGAAAATAAGTACTTTTTATAATCACATTAATGAACAGGCCATCTTGGAAAAGCCCAGAGAGTTGAGGCAATTATCTGGATCAACCAGTCCCATGCCAATTTTCCCCTTTAGGTAAATATATCTCTGTTTTGGCTTCAATTTTCTGAAGAACTGTTGTAATTTCTCCCAAGAAATGAACATAATCTAAAGTATCCACTGGTCCTCTGACTAGAGATTGCCCATCGTGAGACAAGGCTTTGACAACGCTGGGAAAGAACTCTGGACTTGTAGGCAGGATGCCAGTGGGAAGCTAACTGCTGGTGCATTAGACCACTTAAATCTTGAAAATCAGGGATAAGGAGCCAATTGCTCCTTCAAGGGGACTAATTTGAGCCCAATTAGCCAGCCACTTACATTTGCTTAAAAAAAAAAAAGCATGGGTGAAATTAAAAGCTGGGTTTAAAATGTGGCCAGGGCTGTCTACTAATAACTAATTAAGCTATTGTATAGAAATAGATTCTTCTAAAGAATTTGTAATTATGCCTGGTATATGCCAGTTTTTAAAGTGCTCTTGGCAGGGGCTAATTTCTGCCTATTAAACAATTAGACCTCTTAATACTTCATCAAATTAATTCTTTAAGTCAGTGGTTCTCAACCTTCCTAATGCCGCGACCCTTTAATACAGTTCCTCATGTTGTGGTGACCCCCAACCATAAAATTATTTTCGTTGCTACTTCATAACTGTAACTTTGCTACTGTTATGAATCATAATGTAAATATCTGATATGCAAAATGTATTTTCATTGTTACAAATTGAACATAATTAAAGCATAGTGATTAATCACAAAACAATATGTAATTATATATTCAATATGTGTTTTCCAATGGTCTTAGGCGACCCCTGTGAAAGGGTCGTTCGACCCCCAAAGGGGTCGCGACCCAAAGGTTGAGAACCGCTGCTTTAAGTGATCTGACTGAGTTAAAGAAAAGGAGAAAATAATCATTTAGTAAGAAATTAAGACTGCAGAATAAAAGCAGGAAAAATAATTTTTGAAATTAAAACAAAAGCAGTATTTATAATTATGCTGCTTTTAAAATAGCAGCCTCTTCCATTATTTGTTCAGAAGCACAATTTACATAGGTTCATTTTATTAATCCATAAAATCAAAAGCTATATTCATTGATAAAGAAAATAAAATGTTATTTCTTAAGGCAAATTCTATTTAGGGATAATTTTAATATGGAGAGGTTGTTTCCAGAGTAGAAAAGTAGAAGAGATTGCAACAAATTATTGATTAAATAAATGAAAATGATTTTCTTTGTAGATATCTCAAAAAAAAAATTACGTTCTCAGGCCATGGGTATGCTCTGGTCTTTTTGGGGAAAGGGAGTCTGGAGTAATAATAGGTCGGAGGTAGGGCTGAGTGTGATGTAATAATGAGGATGGTGAGCTCTGGGGAGGTGTAATAAGTGGGATGGTGAGCTGCGGGGAGGTGTGGGAAATAATGTGGGATGGGCCAGTGAGGTCAGGTTCTGGAGGAGCTGGAAGATCAGGAAGAGAACCTTGGGCTCCAGAGGGTAAAGTGTTATGACAAAAGCAGAATATGACAAAGCAGAATATTGGGAAGTTTGCACTAATGATGATGCAGAGCTGTTTTGGGGTGATACAGGGGTTATGGGAAAAGGCTGAGGTAGAGTGAAGGCAGACAGAGGCACAGAAAGACTAGTTTCTGTCAGTCACTTAAGCATAAAGAGGAGGGTCTGCTTAGAAGGTTAGCATAGAAGTGGAATGTAAGGGACAAATCCGTAGGCATGCCACAGGTGAAACACCATGCCTTGGTAACATACAGGTTATAGCAATGAAGGTCTTCGGGTTTCCAAATATGCAGTAATAATTATTAACATTATTATTACATTAGCAATATTATCATTGTTGGTCCTTATTCCTAAAAGACTTAAATTAACATTATGCCCAATTCCAATCATTCATCTGGTCTGTCCCATCAGTAATTGCAGTCATCTACCCTTTACCACAGGTGCTAAACACTTATCAGGTGCTAGAGCAGTGATGGCGAACCTATGACAAGCGAACTCATTTTTTTGGTTGATTTTTCTTTGTTAAATGGCATTTAAATATATAAAATAAATAT